TCATGTCTATCATGCCAACCATGGGGTTATCTCAAGTGGTGTCTGCCCCATTCATGTTAAAATGCCTACTCCTGACTTGGTTTTCTGAACTGGGCAAGATGGTGATAATCTGGGTGTGGAGGAATTTTCAGTACTTCTATTGTCATGGATGGATCAGTATGTGGTTCAGTTCAGGCTTATTGGAACTCTAGAACTCTGAACGTCTGCGAAGGGGGAGGCAATTAAAATGTTCCATCTTGGGAGACTGATGAATTGACAGCTCTCGAAAAGTTTCTGGCTTTCTTGGCAGGTGATCCTGTAGAGGTCTTGGCAGATTTCGGAAATGCAGAGGTGGCCACGGCTATTGACAATCGCTCCTAAGTGTTCCTTTCCACAGAGTGCAATCAAACTAGTTCCTTGGTTTACTGGGGGTGATGAAATGAGTAGAACAGAGACTAGAGCAGCAATGGTTGAAAACTTGGGACTAGATTGAACATGGGCTAGAGCTCATTGGAAAGTCTACTCCATGGCAGTGTTGGCAGTAAAGAAGCAATTCTTCTCTGCCATCATTGCATCTGCACAGAGCGGTGCAGTGGAGCTCTTTCAACATGTACAGGGAATTTTTGGGTTTTTGGGTTTGGTGCCATCAGTATGCTGATGACACCCAACTGTAGCTCTCCTTCCCATCTGACTCCAAAGGAAGCTTCTGTGTGTAGAGCTGTACCTGTTGTCAGTAGTGGACTGAGTGAAGGCTAAGAAACTGAAACTGAATCCAGACAAGACTGAGGTGCTCCTGGTCAGCCACAAGGAGCTGTATTCAAAATAAGAAACAACAACTAGAAAATAAATTAAACAGTTGTAAAAATAAGCCACTACACAGACAACATCTGAGAAATATTGATGGAAGGCATGACAATAATTCAATGGGCATGTCTAAAACTGGGGATTTCTTAAGAAAGAAACAAGAGGCTTGATTTTTGCTGTATAAGAACAAGCACTCCAAAACCAATGTAATGAAAGCCGAGAGTCAAAGAATTAGTGCTAACTACGTGGGGCTACCTTTGAGGCTGCTGCGGAAACTGCAGGTGGTGCAGAATGCGGCGGCCAGATTACTCAGTGGAGTGAGAAGATACCAACATATTTCACCCACTCTGGTCGCATTGCATTGGCTGCCCATCCGATTCCGCATCGACTTCAAAGTGTTGGTGCTCACGTATAAAGCCCTAAATGGTTTAGGACGTCGATACTTGGTGGAACGCCTTCTCCTGCCAAGATCTACCCATGTCACTCATGCGAGCCAGGAGGTGAGGCTGAGGAGCCAAATGCCGAGGGAGGCCCGGAAGGAGAAGACAAGAAA